GCATAAATAAATGAAGAATTTAATCAGAGCCTTAGAAACTATCAAAAGAATGAATTGAAATGCTAGAGTTGAAAAATACAGTATTAGAAATATAGGCTGAGGTCTAAAAACCACTGGACACAGCAAACAAAGGTACCAGTGAAGTTGAAAACAGGAAATATAAAATGCTTAAATAATCACACAGTGAAAAAATACAGGAGAAAGACCCTGAGATTTGTAAGACATCACCAAATACTCTTATCATAAGTGTGATTGAAATTCAAGAAGGAGAGGTGAATAAGAATGGGGAAAAAGAACTATTTCAAGAGATAATGGCTTGGAACATTCCAAAACTGATGAAAGGTATCAATGAACAGATCCAAGAAGCTCAGCAAACTCTGTCATAATAAATACTTCCAGGAAAGCACACCTAAGGACATCATAAGTAAACTGCTAAAAAGCCAACTATAAATACATCTTACAGAACACTAGAATAAACAGGTACATTACTTACAGGGAACACAAACAGCATTTAATTTCTTACTTGAAACAATATGAATTTAAAAATAATAAATAACTTTAAGAGGAATAAAGGAAAAAATACCTATCAATCCAGACTTGTATATCCCATGGAAAAACTTTTAAAAAGGCAATTAAAAATACTTTTAGAAAAGCAAAAGCAGAATTTTTTTTCACAGATCATCATTATAAGAAATGACGAGAAAAATGATCCTAGATCTGCAGGAAGGAACAAGGAGATAGGGCAAATATCTGGGGAAATATAAAAATCATTTTAAATGTGCCTTTATTTTTTATTTACATATATTTATACCTCTTTGTAAAAGATTACTGGCTATTTAAAAATTATAACAATGAAGTGTGAAATTTAGACAGTGTTTTTAAATAAATGTTTAGCAACTAGCTGTCTGAGAAAAGCCCCTGTTTTTGGCATCTTATTGTTTCTGCGGTATTAATAGTTGGATGGTATTTTTTTTTCTTTTTTTTTTTTTTTGGTTTTTCTCCGGTACCGGGAACCGAACTCATGTCTTTGTGCTTGCCAGGCAGGTGCTTTTGCCGCTGAGCTAAATTCCCAGCCCCTGGATGGTATTAATAGAAGGATGATTTCAAGCTGCCATCAGCTCTATAGCTGGCTCACAAATTGTCTGCAAACTCAACAATCATCTCTCACAGTTAGCAGAAGTTAGCTTCATCATACCACAGGGTTTATACAATACATAAATTTTTAAAGACTATAAGAATACTAAGGGTAAAAGGAGGTAGGAAATGGAATGGAATGCTTTTGTAAGGTTTTGAGACACATTATCATTTGAAGTAGACTGTGATAATTTGGCACATAATTTCTAGAGTAATCAGTAAAATAACAACACAGAAGAATAGCTTAACTACTTACCAGTCCAATTATTTAAATACAGGGTGATAAAAAATTGCATTTTTCATTAATTTTTATAAGATAATATAACAGGAAATATAAAAGTGACAATTTTATCAAATTTATTTAATGCAAGAATTGATTGGTTGAAATGACACCTGCTAGAGTGACACTTGGGATAGTCAATATGCAAAAAATTCACTGCCTGAGTGACATTTGGGGTAAACTGTTAAGCAGTTAAAATTAACACAGAAAATAAGTAGAATACTAAAAGCTAGGCTGGTGGTGCATATCTGTAATCACAGTACTCTGAGAGGTTGAGGCAGGAAGAACAAAATTTTGAACCCAGCCTGGGGAACTTAGAGACTTTGTGAGATCCTGTCACAAAATAAAAATAAAATAAAATTTAAAAGGGCTAGGGATGTAGCTTACTGTGAAGGCCTTGAACTCAGTCCCAGTAATAAAAAAAAGCAATATATTTAATTGGTACAAAAGAAGGCAAGGGAGAAGGAACAGAACAGAAAAACAAAGAACAAATAGCATAAATAGAAAACAAGTAGCAAAATGAGACACTTAAATCCAACCAGGTAAATAATTACATTAAACATAAATGGATAAACACTCCAAATAAAAATCAGAGAATGTTAGACTGGATTAAATAAACAAAACTCATCAGTACATGTATATAAGAAACATAAATACAGAAGAATAGACATATTGATATTGAAAAGAAAATGGAAAAGATTATCTCAAAAATATTAAGCATTAAGGCATGCTAATATAGCTCTATTAATATCAGGCCTGATAGTATCTTGAGTGTTCTGACTTCTCTTTGACAATTAAAACAAAAACTGTCAGATGTGGTTCCAAATGTATGTTGAAATATTGAAAACTGATATTATAAGTAGGATAAGGTAAAGGGACCTAAAGATAAGTCAAGTTCAGTATTTCCTTGAAACTGGTAAAATGACAATAGCAGTAGGCTATGATAAGTATGTATATATGCTAAAATATATGATATATATATACATGAAAAAACCATAAAAACAATATAAATGGTGCAAAGGACTTTTCTCCAAAAAGAAGCTACATAGATGGCCAATAAGCACATGAAAAGACGTTTAGGATTAGTGACTGTTAGGGAAATACACATCAAAATCACAAAATGATATACCATTTCATATGCTTTAGTATGGTAATTATGAAAAAAAAAAAAAAAACAAAAAAAAAACGCCAGAAATGTTGGTGAGGATGTGTGAAATTGTAATCCTTGTGCGCTAGGAATGTAAAATGGTACAGTGTCTGTGGAAAATGGTATGGCCATTCCTAAATACATACATAAATATATACAAATACATTTGAAACATTGACGTATAATATGATCCATCAGTTCTACTTCTGGTAGTCAGAGACTCAGACATATTCACATACTCATGTTCACAGAAGCATTCATTGTTCACAATTGCTGAAAGGTGAAAACAACATGATGTCTATCAGCAAATGAATGGATAAAGAAAATATGGTCTACACAAATGATGGAATACCATTCAGCCTTAAAAGGAAAGAAATTCTCACACGAGATACAACATGGATGAACCTTGAAGACAAGCCAGTCACAAAAGGACAAAGAATTGTGTGATTCCAGTTATAATAAGGTACCTAGATCAGTCAAATTCCTAGAGCCAGAAAGTAGAATGAGAATGAGGCTGCTGAGGGCTGGAAGACAGGGTAATGGGAAGTTACTATTGAATAGGTACAAGTTACAGAGTTATAAAAGCTCTATAAAAGTTTAGAAAAAAACCCATGAAAAACTCTGGTGTGCAAGGCAATGGGAATAGCCTGATTCCAAAGGCATGGCCCGAAGGAAAATTTCATTGAGAGCACACCAGAATTAAAATGTTTGTTCCGGGAAGCCTGTGAAGAGATGAAAAAACAAGCTATAGGATGAGAGAACTATTTGCGAGCAATATATCTGACAAAGGACTCTTGGTGTGTTGGTTTGGGGGTTATTTTTGCAAGGGGAACAATACAATACAGGACACATTACTTTATAAGATTATTTATAGTAGTCACCCGAACAATGATATACCCAAGAGTGTGCAGGAAATCTGCCCACACACTATAGACCAGGAATCCAGCGGAGGGCCTGGATCCCAAAATGATGTTCTACCTGACTCCAGCTGAATAGAGCCCATAATGATGCCTCCCATGAATCCAGCTGGAGGCCCAGAGCCCATAACAATATCTCACACAGGCCTGTTTCACAGATCTGCACTGGGAAGGCCCAAAGGTCAGTGGTGGAATCTAGAAAGTCTGTGCCAGCAGGCTGAGGGAGCTGCACTGGAGCCAGGAAGTGATGCTCAGAAGAACCAGAGCTCCCCTGAAAGGTACCACAGCCATCCTCAGCAACAGTGAGGTCCCAAGTTCCTCTGATGTCCAAGATGGCCGAGTTCCCATCAGGGAAGCCAACGCAGCAAGCTTTTGCAGGAGGCCGGCAGGGCACCATCTTCCCCTCCGGAGCCAGGAGGTGATGCTCAAAGTGAGGACCAGAGCTCCCCCAAAGTGAATCGAAGCCATTCTCAGTGCCAACGAGGTCCCGAGCTCCTCAGAGGATGAAAACAGCCAAGTTCATCAGGAAAGCCAGCATGATGAACTCCTCCAAAACAACCAACAGCTTCCCACAGCTTCTACCAGCTCCAACAGCCTCTCTCAGCTCCCAACAGCCTCTTTCTTCTTTCCAAGTCTGCTTCTTATGCTGCTGGCAGCAGTTCTCAGGTGGGCCTCCCACACCCAGCACCACACTCAGTTCAGCTGGGGGTTATAAGTTGGCCACCAGTTATCAGTCCATTACACTGGCTATCTAGAGTATATGAAAACAGTGCCAAATAATCCAGTTAGAAAACAGGCAAAGGACAACAGGAAAGTTCGCTCAAGAAGATACACAGATGGCAAATGCAGGCAAGAAAAGATGCTGAACATCATGAACCGGTAGGAAAATATAAATTAAAACCAGTGAGACATCACATCCCCCTGAGAACCGCCTAACTAAGAGCGATTGGTCATGCTAGGTGAGGCACGGACTCAGAGAAGCTGGATTATTTACGCGTTGTTGATGGAAACATAAAACGGTGCAGTCACTTTAGGAGACAGTTTACAGTTTCTTTAAAAATTGAGCATGTGAGGACCACCGCTCCCCTGCACCTCTGTCCAGGGAAGGAGAAGGTTCTGCTGCGGTCCAGCTTACAGGTGTTGCTCCCACTTTGTGGGGGAAATCGGAGTAACAGTGTCCACTCTCACCACAGAGCACTTGCTCTGCTAGGCCCCGAGCTAAGCATCTTATGGGTGTATCTCATTTAACCTCCCCGACTGACCTCATGTCTGGTAGAGACTAGGGTTAAAATCGCTCCCACTTTCACAATGAACAGACCGAGGCTCGCAGTTCCGTTGGTTGCTTAAGGCTATGCAGTACATGGCAGAGCCAGGATTTGAACTCAGGTAATACTAATAAGCTCCTTAATCCCCACATGATCTTTATCGCCAATTTCACAAGTGAGTAAATAGGGGCGAGGAAAGGTTAAGCCAGCTGTCCCGGGACACCGAGCAGGAAGCCGCCGCGATGCTTAACCCAAGGCCGTGCTCCCCGCGGGCTGGGTCGCTGCGCCCTAGACTTGCGCCTAACTTTCCCACCGCGGTCCCGGGAGGAGACCGCCGGCCTCCTGGTCCCGGGGAGGAGTGGAGGAGGGCGGGTCCGCGAGCGCAGTCCCCTCCCCGGCCCTCCCCGGCCTTCCCCGGGCTTTAAGCCAGCGCTGGCCGGGACGGGGCAGTCCCCGGTGCCCCGCGCCGGCGATCGCGCGGATGGCAGCGCTTGCGGCGCTGGCCAAGAAGGTATGGAGCGCGCGGCGCCTGCTGGTGTTGCTGCTGGCGCCGCTGGCTCTGCTGCCGGTGGTCTTCACCCTGCCGCCCAAGGTAACGCCTCCCCCGCCGGGGCCGGACCCTTTCCTCCGCGCTGCAGAAGGGGAGCTCTCTCCCCTTTAACCTGCCTCTGGGCACGCCGGGCTCCTTTTCCTGCTGCCTCGCTTCTCCGTGTCCCACCTACCCTTCTCGGTCTTCCCACATCCAGGACATGACTTAGTTTTTGAGCTCTAACTATGTATTTAGCGCTGTGTAGCACTTTCTCTCCAGGGCCAGAGCGAGCGTGTGAGTGGTGCGACCTCAAGCAGGTCACATTTACTCGTATGTAAGAACGGAGGGAATGATAGCATCAACCCGCCGTGGTGGATGGGAGTGAAAGAACTAAGCCTGGTACACAGTAGCTGGCCTTCCTCACCCAGGTCCTTAGGTGCTGTGAGAGCGAGGGTTTAACGCGCTCTTACTTTGGGTGAGGCTGTGCCTTACCTGTGTTACCTTTCAAAATCCTTTCGGTGGCCCCCAGAGGGAAGATGATCTACCCCCATTCTCCAGAGGTGAAAACCAAGGCTCAGAGAGAAGTGTCGTGCTCAGAGTCACGCTCGCTGCAAGGCACCAGGAAGGCAGAGACTCTGGCTTGTCAGAATCCAGAGCTCGTGTGCTTTCCATACTTCCAAAGCAAGCACCTCTAAAGATCAAAAGCCACCAGCTGATTGAGGGTTCAGGAGTCCAAGAAAGTCAACATGGGGGCGGGTAGAGGCTGGAAGGAGAAGGTGTTCGGGGTCCCCACGGGTGCCTCACCTGTGCCCTGAGTGGGGCCTTGTGGGGGGGCACCAGGCTCAGAAGATGTCTCTAACCTGAGAAGCTCCTGCACCGCCCCCAGTGAGACACAGATACACGTGAAGAGAGGGTGTCATTTACCAACGTGCTGCGGCCCTGTCCCACTGAGACCAGGGGCGCTGCGGGAGGGTTCAGCTCCCTAGGGGACCTAGAGTGAGGAGTTGAGAATAGGTGACACCAGGTGACTGGGACCAAGACATAATGATTTCCATGGTGAGGAATGATCTAAACTCTCCGACTTTCTTGATTTGGTAGAAAAAAAGATAAATGATAGGATAAGGATTAGGTCACATTTTCAGATGGTATCAGGCACGTTCAGGGTGATATGGCCGTAGACTAGGTCACCCATCCCGGGTGGCCTGCTGACCAGGGTCCTTGAGCCAACCTCTCCTCTCTGGGTCTCACTTTCCTTTAACATGCGGCGATCACCCTCCTATCTTCTTGGGCAGATGTGAGGCGTGCATTAAGACTTGCTGCAGCATCTTGGCAGAAAGGAGGTGGAAGGGTTCAGGCGTGGGGCTCAGGGAAAGAGATGTGCGGGGCACAGGGTCTCTGTCCCTGGACTTGACAGCTGCTCCCTGCTCTCTGCTCTGGCAAGATCCTGAACTCAGGAGCAGACTCCTGTGTGAGGGCGCTGAAGCCTTGGGCTGAGGGGCCACCTGGAAAGGAGAGCAAGACTTCCAATGGCAGACGTCAGTGTTGGGCTTGGGCTGGTCCTCTGCGTCCTGTCCCGAGGTGCACATGGGCAGGGCGGGACTGCGGTGAGTGCAGTGGGCCCTGTGGTGGCCATCCGCCTGATGAGAACGTGTCCTCTTGAATGCCTGGCTCTTCCTCTATTGCTGGCACCATGGCAGCTCCTCAGGCCCTGTCCCGTATAATGTCCCTGACAACCTGGCCGGCAACTGCTATTTGAGTCCCTCATTGACAAGTTAGGGAATGGACACTCAGCAAGGTTGGGTGACTTGCCCAAGGTCACACAGCTGCTCCAAGCTACAGTACAGAGCCTACTTCTAACTGCTGTCTACTTCTACTTCTAACTGTGGTACTTTCCTTGGTCATAAATCAGCCGGGACTACTCCTTGTGCCCTGTAGTGGGCCCTCGATGTCGCTGCCTTGCAGTGACTGATAAAGTAGACCCTCCTCCCAGGAGGCTGATCCTTCTGCAGGGGCTGGGGAGGCCGAGTCTCCATCCAAATCTCTGTTGGCCTATCTAAAGCCCTCTCCCACCCGTCACACTCTCTGTGGAATTGTACTGCTGTATTCTGGGCAGTGTTAAGAACTGTGATGCTTCTCGTCTAAGGAACGATGTGAGCAAAAGCATCCTCAGAGAACACTGCGCTGTGTTTTGCCGACAAAGGCCTTGCCATGTGCAGGCAGCGGCAGGCTGCTCTTATCTTGCCCCGACCTGTGCTGCCCCCAGAGGCAGGTGGTTTGACTTTAAATGTTTTCTCTGTGCAAAAATGCAGCTCCAAGATAAGTATCCGCAGCATCTGCCCCATCCCCGATGCCACCTGGCCACTGCAGAGCTTCTAGGTCACTCAGACAGTCTGAGCCGCCAGTGCAGGCTGGGTCACACATAAAAGTTTGGGGAAACTGCAGGTCATAGATTAGGAAAGACGGTCAGAAAGGCCACACGCTGAATGGTGTTGAGCCAGGGCATTGTCCCACAGTGGGTCTGGTTTTCTGGTTTGGCGATCTCTCTAGGCCAGAGACATCACTAGCCTGATGCCTAGGAATCGCTGTGGTTGAGAGAAGACCCACTCTGCGGGGAGGCTGCTGTCAAGTGTAGAGCAGGTCCTGGAGGAAGGGTTCCTGCGTTCTGTCTTCTGGCCAAGAGGGAGGGAAGGAGGGAGTGAAGCTTGGAACGCAGCAGCTGGAATCTCTGGCGCCCCTGGGGATCCACCCTAGGCTCAGGAAGATGGGCCTGCCTCCGAGTTTTCCAAGGATGGTGACTTGGGGAGTGGTCTTGGAGAGCTGGTGAGCACAGACAGAACTGTTAAAGCAAGCTTGCAAAGAAGCACCAGCCCCCTCTGTTGGTGTAGAAGTCTGGCTCCTTTTCCTGCCTTGCACTCACCGGAGCGAGTTAAAGTGGTGCTCACCGTGACTGCAAGGATCCTTTGAGGAAGAGGAGTTCAGGACACTCTAGGTGGAGCTGCTGTATGATGTTGTGTAGGTTGTACACCGAACAGGGGCCTCGAGGTGATACGTGAGGCTGAACCAACCTGCCGCCTGCGGCACACTGTGCCCTGATGCCACCAGGAAAGGCCCCTTCTCTAGTTTGCGTGAAAGTGTCATCGGTGCTCCTGGCAGACTTGTCCTGGGATGAGGATCTTCTCAGGGGCTGGAGGACACCTGAAAGGTCAGAGCCGTACTTTCTCACATTTGCTTAATTCCAGGAAAATGATCATTTCATTCCCAGTCTTAGGCTTTGGGGTCAGAGCTGGATTCTCATTCTACAGACTTGCTCTGTGAGCTTGAACAGGCCACTTTACTTCCCTGGGCCTCACATTCTTCCTTTACAACATGACCATAGTGTTGGCTTTCTTCCTGGTTAGTATCAGGGTTCCATGAAATCTAATCTCTTATGCCTGTATCATAAATGTTTCTTTTTAACTCAATGCTAAAGATGTGTCTGAGTGGTCCCATTTTACAGACCAGGAAACTGAGGCTGGGAGAAGTTAAATGATGCAAAGTACTTGGACCCTGAAGTTGGGCAACTTGGATTTGGGCTTTGGCTTTGAAATGACAAAGAGGGGAGAAGTCTCCTGGAGTTTTTGGGCCTCAGTCTCTTCATCTGTGAAGTGGAGAGAATCTCGATCCACTGGATGGGGCTGTTCTGAAAATTCAGAGAAGGCACAGACATGGTGTCTTGATAGCAGCCACAACCCCTCCCCCCACATTACCATGTGCCATCTTACCTGCCTTACACCTTTTAGCCCATTACTTTCCATAGCAGCCCTAAGAACTAGCAATAGTGACTGTTTTCATTTTTACAGACGAGGAAAGTGAGACACCGAGCAGTTAAGTAATGTCCACACAGCTACTGGGTATTAGGACTCTTCTTCCTCTTCGGACAAGGGTGTAAATGAGGCTGGCTGTCAACCCCAGCTCCTTGGTGTCCTCATCACACAGATGGTGGCCCAGTTCCCTCGCCTGTGTGTGTCGCTGTGTATGGGGAGCGGGTGTTGGGGAGGCGGAGAGGACTGTGCCTTATCTTGTGAGACCAATGCACTGCCATAGGTCCTTACAGGAGGAGGTAGAGCTCAAGGGAACCAGATGATGGCTGAGGGATACAGGCCACCTCCACACTGGGGGAGCACAAGTTCCGAGCCTCTCCTGGAGCTTCCCCGGGGACCAGTCTGCTGACATTTTGCCTTTAGCTTAGTAAAAATGAGGTCATACGTCTCACCTCTGAAGCAGCGTCAGGAAAACTCTTGTGTTGTCTGAGTTCCTGCATTTGGGATAATTTGTTACAGTAGCAGCAGGAAATAAATCCATGGCAGAACCATCCCCAGACTGCTGCTTCCAGGAGGGGAGTGGTCAATGCAGCCCTGTCTCTGCCCTGAACTCTGGTGTGCTAATTGCCCACAATTCACAGGCGTGCCCCAACCTATGGGCCCACTGTTCTTGGGATGTAAACCCCCATGTTTTGGAGAGAGCAGGGCTGGGTGAACAAACCCCGGGCTTTGGATTCCTCTGGGTATGAGCTCATCTCTGGCCCCTGCCCTGATGAGCTGTGATTCAAGGAGTCTTTACTTCTCTGCGCAGGTGCGTTCTGGGAACGATCCCAGGCTCATCTGAGAGCTGGGGTTGAGTGCAGGCGATCCAGTGACAGGACAGGCTGTGAGGCCACCGTAAGGCTCCGGGGTCATATGGCAAGCCAAGAGGCCTTCCTGTCTTGGGTGGGTTTGGCATTTGGGTTGGAGGGGGCAGGGTACAGAGAGAAAGGACGGATGCTCCTGGGAATGCTGAATAATCTGAGGGGGCTCTGGGGCATACGGACCTCCCTCGTTGCCTGGTACCTGGCCCTGGGGTGACTAGGGTAGGTGTGTGTGTGTGTGTGTGGTCTGGATTGTCTGGTTTGCATGGGAGAGCATTGCAAGCAGGCTAGTGGGTTATCATTTCTAGCAACTGGCTAGTCCCGAGATGCACAGCTCCTCCAGGATGTCAGAGCATCAAACAGAGAAATTAGAAATCATGATTAGTACAACCCCTACGGC